TAAGTTGTTTTTATATGGTCCACTAGAGATTTTTAAAGGATAAATTTCTACATTCTGTAATTAACAAACTTATTCATTCTCACTACAGATCTAAAATACCTCCTTTTATTGTCACTACACTGTCACAATGTCAAAAGGATATTTCCTCCCATGGTGCTAGTGAGTCATCTGTAATTTTAAGAACATGAGGAGGGAGAAGTTTTCTGTAATAAAGAGTGGGTGAAGAATTTGAATGCATAGCCAAATGGTACAAAGTCAACCCAAGCTATGAAAAGTAACTTGAGAAAAAAACATCCCATAAAGAAGGGTGGGGGGAGGTGAGTTCACAAGTTCAAATGTGCCTTGCCACACAACTATAGTAAATAAGCAAATAAAAGAAATCGAACCCTGAATGGTGTTCTGAAGAACTGGACCGGAGTTCACCTGGCATAGGGAATTCTATGACAGCATTCTGATAGCACTCTTTTTTCTTTGTTCTTACTTTGGACTTCCGAAGACTTAAAACATCTGAGGGTCTGGAAAGTCCCTAATGCTTCCATGCACCAGTAGTGCCCATGAAATGGTTGCTACAATTTCTTCAGTTGCTACTACAGTGTCACTGATCATGAATTAAACTACGTTAACAATTTCAGTAAAATTTTTAACATTATGTAATTTTCACACTTTAAACTGGAGCAAAGAAGATAAAAATATGTGGGCATGTGCCATCTGGAAATATACCATCAGCAGTGACAATTCCATAAGCTCACTGAAATTGTCTTTTTAGAAGATGACAGAGAGCTTAGCGTCGTTTGTATTTCTTACACAATACATTCCATATATGCTGCATATATGTAATTTAATCAAATGTATAAAAGAAAAGAGATTCTGCAACCATTTTTATAGTAGTATTGCTTTGCTTATTCTTTCTAGTATTAAGAAAGAAACTAGAAACTGTGTATTGACAAGAATGACACCTTCATTATTGTACTTGAGAAAAATCTTAGGAAAGTCACTGTCATAACTGAGGTTTGCATATTCCAACTCACTCAGGCAATATAATCCACATCCTCCATATCAGCAATAGTGGGAAATATCATTCTAAGAAGCATTTTCTCTAGTGACATTTTCACAATTAGACTCTATAGCTATGCCGGTGTATTACATTGTTTTAATGATGATCACTCTCCCAATCTCAGGTATTCAAATCACTAAAATAAAATTAGTCATCAAATATCTAAAGAAAAATTTATTATGTTTGAAAGGTTATTATTTTGCTAAGCATTCAAACCTTAATCATAGCAAACACATTCAGAATTTAAGATTATTCCTTCATATAAAATAATACAATTATGAAAGAAAATGTAAGACTAGAAAACTGTTTAGGCAACTAAAGAAAGTTTTAAAATATGAAAGTGCAAAATAGTGAAATTTCAAACATATTCAGGTATATTCAGGTATCCTAAATATACCACGTTGGTTATAAAGGACTTGTCAGAAGTTTCATTTGCATTGCTTTGAATGACTTACATTTGAAGACTCAGTTGATGTCAGCTCAATGTGAAAGCAATGGAAGTGTCTTACCTTGGAGAAAACTCCTTCCTGATAACAATATTTTTCTTATCAGGTTGTTCTACTTGCTCACTGTGATTTGTCCCAAAATGCCAAAATACTTTTCCTTCCTCACACAATGTGCATTTGAAGATAAGGATAGAAGATGTTAATGGCAAGTTTCAATGTGAACCTAACAAAGTTTATAAGGGTTACATCAGCACAAGAATCTGGCTGACTGAGTCATTCCATCAAAGTTGGTCTTTCACACCCAGGTTTAAGACAGTTCTTTTCAGTATTAAAAAGGGTTTGCATAATTTTGTCTTCCATCTGCCTTTATATCCTTGACTAGAGGACCAGTACATGAAAATTTGTGCACTCGTAGCAAGGTGGGGGGGGGGGGTAATTCCTCAGTCCAGCCTGCACTCTCACACAGTCTGGGACTCCTCAGGGGATGTCCCCCTGTGGCTTAGGCCTGCTCCTGGGGGAAACAGGCCTAAGCTGGCAGCCAGACATCCCTCTGGCAGCCTGGGAGGCCTCAGGGGATGTCTGACTAACAGCTTAGGCCAGCTCCAGCTGCCTAAGCCATTAGTTGGACATCCTTAGTGCTGCTGAGAAGGTGGGAGAGACTCCCACCACTGCTGCTGCACTCGCAGCCTTCAGCCCAGTTTGTGGCTGAATGGAACGCCCCCTGTGGGAGTGCACTGACCACCAAGGGGCAGCTCCTACGTGGTGGTCAGTACACTTTATAGAGACTGGTCATTCCTGGTCATTACCCTTTTATTATATAGGATTATAAATCACTCATTATGAATTAATAATTTTATTTTGGGGCATCCTCTCAAGATAACAAATGCTATCAGTGTGAAACTTTCCTTTAAGTAGGAATGGGGAACCGTGTTTTTTTTTTTGCCAAGGGCCATTTGAATATTTTTTAACATCATTTTAACATCATACAAAATTATCAACTTAAAAATTAGCCTGCTACCTAGTCAAACATTTAATTAACTCACCCCCTCATGCCTTGCCCATGACCAGACAAATGGTTTATTGGACCTTACACAGCCCATAGGCTGAGCATTCCCCAGCCCTGATTTAAATGGAAATATTATTAGATTATCTGATTTTCACATGAAGAATCTCTGCTTTTGTCAAACTGCATTAGTTTGGTCTTTATCAAAATATTCATTTGAAAAAGAAAAAAAAATTCATTCGTTGTTTCACAAGTAAGGATATAGCATATAAGCTGGGATGCTAGATTCCAGCTCTGTTTTATGAAAACCCTGTGTAGCTTTAAGAATTTTTAGAAGGTGCTTACTACTGGAGAGATGGGGGCTGGATGTCTTAGAGTAGCAAAAGGCCTTCTGGGGATCAATCCCCCTAACCCATAATTTGAACAGACTGAATATATCCAATGTCTACAGATAAACTAACACATTCTATAGGGTGAATAAATTTCTGTCTAGAACACAGCAGAGTCATTACCTCAATAATGAAGTACTTTTCAATAAGTTAAAATGTTTAAATAGTTTAATTATCTGCATTTTTATTCTTCTCATACAAATAAACCCCTCCTAGTATATTTAATTTGGGCTTTAGCATTTTAGGTGAGATATTAAATTATATTCCAAAGGACTGGTCTTGTCTAATAAAAGGGTAATATGCAAATTGACCATCACTCCAACACACAAGATGACTGCCCCCATGTGGACAAAAGATGGCCACCACAAGATGTCCAGCAGGGGAGGGTACTTGGGATGGGGGGGGGGGGGAACCCAGGCCTGCAGGAGAGGGCAGTTGGGGGGAACCAGGCATGCAGGGGAGGGCAGTTAAGGGAGATCATGCTTGCAGGGGAGGGCAGTTGGAGGGAACCAGGCCTACAGGGAAGGACAGTTAGGGGTGACGATGCCTGCAGAGGAGGACTGTTAGGAGCAATTGGGTTGGCAGGGGAGCAGTTAGGTGTCGATCAGGCTGTCAGGGTAGTAGTTAGGGGGTGATCAGGCTGGCAGGGAGGCAAGCAGTTGGGAGCCAGCAGTCCTGGATTGTGAGAAGGATGTCCAACTGACCATTCAGGCACTGATTTAGGCATTAAGGCATCACTCAAGGGGTCCCAGATTGGAGACAGTGCAGGTTGGGCTGAGGGACCCGCCCCCTCCCCTCTCCCTCCTCCCTTGTGCACAAATTTCGTACATGGGGCCTCTAGATTAATTATATAGTGAAACTTTTCTTATAATTTGAAAGGCAGTTATGAAATAGATAATCTCTTATCTACTAAGATTTGGCAATATTATAAGTAATGTTAAATAGGGAAAATAAAATCTTTGGAAAATAATTATCTTTTCCTTTAATGTAAAATGGGCAAGTGCTTGTTAAAAAGTGTGTTACACTTAAACCAGCTATATCCTGAAACTTAAAAGAAAACACACACACACACACACACAAACACAATGCTAGTCATCCTTTTGTGAGGGTTTGTGTGTTTTTTTTCTTTAATCTCTGAAACTATAGCAATGAGAAGTGATTTATAAAACTGTCTCAAATCCACATATTAAAATTGACAAACTTATGCATTTGACAAAGGCTAATTTCATGTTATTAAGAACTGTGTCAGCAACAAACAGAGCCTAGTGTATTTTAAGGTCCATGTCCAACTGAAATATTTCATTTGTTTAATTACAATCTTTGTGCCTTATCCTTCTACCAAGAGTTCAAAAATATATTGTGTTAGATGAAAAAGATAAAAAAATGTTGCAATTCAAAATCAATACAATAAACATTTTTTTTAACCTTTTTCTGTAGTGAAATAATAGTCTTAATAAAAGATTGGTGAAATAATAGTCTTAATAAAAGATTGGATGCCTAATACATGGTACTTATTTCAAGCATGGATACAGAAAATGGAGGCATTAAAATATCATTACACGTTCTTCAGAATACTATATTTTTGTTAATTCTTATCAATATATATTTTTACAAAAAATTAAATATTTTTAAAAATTGGAGTTTATATAGCAATGTTCCAGAAATTAACCGATTTATTTATAACAAGAGTTAGAAGTTGAAAACACTTGTGGCATCATAGTTTGCTCCATAAGAAATTAATAATAATACTTTTGAAGCCTTTATAATGAGATAACTCCAAGATTTTCGAGTACAGAAAACATACAATTTTATACTAAATATGATCCTGGGGTAGAAATGTTTAGTTCATTAAATTAGCTGCCTATAACTTAAATTTGTTATCGTATTAGGTATCTGTGGTGGTGCATTTGGGACAGCTCCGTCAGTTATGATGTATTTATTTCTCACGTATGCAAACATGTTTTATTTCTCACACATGCAAACATGTTTTACTTCTTAAATAGAAGGGTACTTAAGACTTTGCTAATTCAGCTTGTGTTGGTGCTACAACCATCCAGGGTATGCAGTAGGCAATTCACAGCGAAGCATGCCTGATAAAAAACACTCACTTTTTTGTTGATGTAGTACGGGTCCAGGTCCTCCAAAGGTTCTGACACCATCCCTGGAGGGATGTCTCCATAAATAAAAGGAAGGTTCCTTCCAGCTTCCAAGTCACTGTTTGGCTTTGGGCCATTTTCATCGTCATCTTTCTTGTCTGGTTTGGGATTCTTAGCTTTTTCTTCTGCAATGCGCCTCTCAATAGCCGCAAGAGATTCTCTGGTGAAGAAGTTGAAGCTGTCAGGTCCTGGTGGTACAAGCACTGTTTGCTCCATCTTGTCATCCTGCACATTTTAATTACCATTTACTCCACATATGAAAGTCCTAAAAAAAAAAAAAAAAAGAAGGCTGATATTTAAAGGAGATTAAAAGAAGACTTAATAGCTATAAACTCTTACATTAAACACTAGAGTACTGAAATTGTTTCCAATGTAATTGTTAAATGTGAATCTTTTTGTAGTAAGAACATTTAATGTTAGATCTACCGTTTTAACAAAGTTTTTAAGTGTATAAGACAGTATTGTTAACTATAGGCATGAAATCGTACAGCAGACTTTTAGCACTTATTTCAGTTACTTCAGGAGTGAAAAAAATCACTAATTGGACTTAAATGAGTTTTTTCTTCAGTAAACCCTAATATACTAGAGCAGTGGTCAGCAAACTGCGGCTTGCGAGCCACATGTGGCTCTTTGGACTCTTGAGGGTGGCTCTTCCACAAAATACCATGGCCTAGGTGTGTTTATTTTGAAGAAGTGGCATTACAAATGTTTAAGTTTAAAAATTTGGCTCTCAAAAGAAATTTGAATTGTTGTACTATTGACATCTGGCTCTGTTGAATAGTGAGTTTGCCAACAACTGTACTTGATATAAACTGGAACAGATGTAGACCTGAATAGAAACTCACCATTTTTCTCTCCCACAGGACCTGGTAACTGCCATTCTACTCTTTGCTTCTATGACCATGGCTTAACAGACATGGTTTCTATCTAGGGTTTTATTAAGTGTACTAACCTTGTTTATTCAGTCTTATGCTTTGCAGATTCGGGAACGGTGCCATAAATTAAGAAAGTCATTCAAGTCTAGCCTTAATTGAAGTACATTTGGCTAAATACCACCATGTCCCTAATGGGCTGTTCACTCCGTAAAATGCAGAAATGAGGATGCCCCGTAGAGACAATGGTTAGTTCATCAACAGGGCAAAGTGGAAAGGGAGTTGTCTCTGAGAGGATATAAACCCAACCCTCTAGAGCAGTGGTTCTAAACCTTTCTAACGCCATGACCCTTTAATGGTTCCATAAAATTATTTTTGTTAGTACTTCATAACTGTGATTTTGCTACTATTGTGAGTCATAATGTAAATATCTGTGTTTTCCGAGGGTCGTAGGCAACCCTGCTAGCGGTTCTCAACCTCTTGGTCTCGACCCACAGGTAGAGAACCGCTGCTGTAGAGCCTAAGACCATCGGAAAGGGAGTCAGAGCACTTTGCTGCAGCCAGCCTTAATGACCCACCAGGCTGTCTGATTGGGTCTCCATCTATTCTGAGATGTGAGACAACTAAAACTATGATCTGGTCATGTCATGAGCCATGTTGACCTTGTCATACTTGAACACATTCAGAAAGAGACAACTAAAGACTGGACAAATGCCTTTTATATGACTAAGAATGACAGAGGGACTAAATAGAAAGAAAGTACTAGCATGGGTCATGGTGGAAGATAACTAAAGTTGCTGGAGACAGCTGGGTTCTCCTACTTCAGTGGGAGGAAATGACCAGGAAGAAGACAGGATACCACAAGCTCAATAGGAACTGCACTATTTTTCTTCACTAAAGCAATAATAATTTCTTGCTGATACGATAGTCCTATAGTGCTATAGTCCTATTATGAGAACCTGAGGCAAAACTCTCAACTCCAGATAGCAGAGTCAGACTTGATCTGATGCCAGAGGCCAAATCCCAAATGTATTATTTTCAGGCATATTTAATATGAGCTCAAATTTCACAGGTATTATTGAGCCAAAACTTCCCAGAGCCTATGCTACTGCTTGGCCACAAGGTTTATTTGGATACTGCATTAACTCATTGAGGTCAGCAAGCTATGATACAGTTAATTGCATCATATATATATATATATATATATATATATATATATATATATGAATAGCAATAAAATTGTAGCTGTAACTGATCTTTGACAAAGGGACAAAGGCAATATAAAAGAGTAAACATAGTCTTTTCCAAAAAATAGTGCTGGACAAAATGGACCTCCACATGATTTTATATATATATACTAGAGCCCAATGCACAAAATTCATGCAAGGGCCTTGGCCCTGGCTCCTCCCACCTCTGCCACGGCCAAGGGCCACTGCTGCCTCTGCTGCAGCCCCCGCCCACTGTGGCTTTGTCCGAAGGAAGGACATCAGAAGGACGTCTGGTCTAATTAGCATATAATGCTTTTATTATTATAGAATACATACACACACACACACACACACACACACACACACACACACGTAGACACAGTTGCTATCGCTTTACAAAATTTAACTCAAAATTGATCACAGATCTAAAGTAAATTTTAGAGCTATGAAACTCCTACAAAATAAATTAGGATAAAATTCAAATGATCTTTGGTTTGGCAATGACTTTTTAATGAACACTAAAAGCACAATCTATTAAAGAAATAATTGATAAGCTGGACTTAATTAAAACTAAAAACCTCTGCTCTGTGAATGTCAATATCAACTAAACAAAAAGGCAATCCACAGAAAATATGTTCAAAACCAAAGTTGATAAAGGACTCCTATCCAAACTATACAAAGAACTCTTTTTTTAAAATATCTATATATTTTATTAATTTTTTTACAGAGAGGAAGAAGAGGGTTAGAGAGTTAGAAACATCGTTCAGCTGCCTCCTATACACACCCTACTGGGGATGTGTTGGCAACCTAGGTACCTGCCCTTTACCGGAATTGAACCCGGGACTTTTCAGTCTGCAGGCCGACGCTCTATCCACTGAGCCAAACTGGTTAGGACCAAAATATACAAATAACTCTTAAAGTACAACAATAATAAAACAAAGAAATTAATTTAAAAACCAGGCCAAAGCCCTAAAAAATACCTCATCAAAGAAGACAGATGTTAAATAAATATATGAAAAGATGCTCCACATCATATGTCATCAGGGAAAAGCAAATAAAAACAACAATGATATACCACTACATACCTAATAGAATGGCCAAAATCCAGAACACTGACACCACCACATGCTGACAGGGATGTGGCTCATTCACTGTTACTGGGAATGCAATACCAACACTGAATGCTACAGTCACTTTTGAAGACAGTGTGGTATTTTCTTACAAATGAAAACTTACTCTTAGCATACAATCCAGCAATTGCCAAATGAGCTGAAGATTTATGTCCTAAAAAACCTGCACATGGATGTTTATAGCAGCTGCATTCAAAATTGCCATAATTAGAAGCAACCAAGATGTCCTTCAGTAGATACATGGATACAGGCAAGGGAATATTATTTAGTGCTAAAAAGGAATGAGCTATCAAGCTATGAGCCACATGGAGGAAAACAAATGCATATTCCTAAGTGGAAGAAGTCAATCAATCTGAAAAGGATGCATACAGTCTTGATTCCAACTCTATGACATTCGGAAAAAAGCAAACCTATGAAGACAATAAAAAGATCAGTGGTTGCCAGGGCTTGGGGAAGGGAAGGATGAATAGCAAAGGCACAGAGGACTTTTAGAGTAGTGAAATTTTTCTGTATGATACTGTAATGGTGGATACAGGCCATTATGTATTTCTCCAAATCCATAGAACATTCAATTCCAAGAGTGAACTCTAATGTCAATTATGAACTTTGAGTGATAATGAAGTGTCATTGTAGGTTCTTTGATATAACAAATGTGACATTCTGGAGTGCTGTGGATGGTGGATGGTACTTTTGTGGGGCTGGGTATGTATAGGAACTCTACTTCCTACTCAATTTTGATATGAACCAAAGAAAAGGCTATTTAAAAGGGGAAAATACATTTGATGAAAATTTTATGAATAAAAAGTGTGTGTGTTTTTTTAAGTTTCGAATAAACTGAAAAGAAATATAAATGGATGAAAAGGAACATCTTACTCTTGGATAAAAATACAATATAATAAAGATATGAAACTTTCCTAAATTGATGAATGATTTAATATGGCACCTACAAAAATAGCAAAATATTTAGAACTATACAAACTTATTTGAAACTTCATAGGGAAAATCAACCAAACAAAAATAACCAGAAAATTCTTAAAATAAACTCTGACTTAAAATTCCTCTTTATTGTAGAAGCCATGGTAAATCAAAGTGTTTAAAATTTCCCAAAAATAAATTAATATATTTTTCAATGATTTATTTAAGTTTAGTTTTATCACATTATAATGTAATAATATAGTTTTTACCATTTCTATTTGTAGAATTTATTTAATTTTCTTTTTGTCTTAATTGAGGTTGATTTTTAAAAAATATATATTTTATTGATTTTTTACAGAGAGGAAGAGAGAGGGATAGAGAGTTAGAAATATTGATGAAAGAGAATCATCAATCAGCTGCCTTTTGCACACCCTCCACTAGCTATGTGCCTGCAACCAAGGTACATGCCCTTGACCGGAATTGAACTCAAGACCTTTCAGTCCACAGACCAACGCTCTATCCACTGAGCCAAACCAGTTTTGGCTTGAGGTTGTTTTTTAAATGATTTCCCAGAACACAGAAAATAAGATTATTATTTGTCTTAAAAATATAGAGTTCAGTATATTTCAATTCAACTTACCTTTTCTTTTCTTTTTGATTGGGATAATTTGTTGGTTCTTATTTTTATTTTTTTAAAAAGACTTTATATAAATCTTCTTATTTATTTATTTATTTATTTATTTTTAGATTCTTTATTGTTTAAAGTATTATACACATTACTACATATGTCTCCTTTTTTCCTCATTGACCTCTCCCCAGTCATCAACACCCTCCAACATATACCTTAACCCCCCTCGTGTCTGTGTCCATTAATTTATTCTTTTTCTTATCTAACTCAGAGATTCTATATCTGTACATATTTTTATTCTAATTGATTTATTATGAGTTAAAATAGGTGAATTCAAGTCTATTTTTAATGTGTTCCTATTTATTTTCATAGTTTCTACACTTTTTGTCTTATAAATGTGAATGCTATGTTATCTGGAATGTAGATATTGCTTATGATTCAATCTTTGGAATAAACTAAACCT